CCAGTGTCACCACTAGAAAGGACTCTTGAACGCAAGCCAGAATGAAGTCAGGGTCCCGACAGAGAAATATACAAAGGAGAACGAGCAGTGTTACAATGAAGAAGGAGTGACTGAGTGACTAATTTTGATTGTAAATAAGGAGAAAGTTCCTGAATTAGCTAGCAATTAATCTGGACCTTGAAAGATTAATATTGATAGTGATACTATTACTACCACTACTGCTAATTAGAGCTAATATTTTTCAACTGCTTACTATACATTTGCCATAGTGATCTGAGTACCGGATATGTATCAACACGGTTAATCCTCACAATGACTCTGTGAAGTAGGTGCAGTATTTCTCTGGATAGGCAAGGAAATTCAATCCCAGCCAGTTTATGTAACTTGCCCAGCAGTTAGTAAGGGGCAGAGCTGAGCTACTCACCCACACAGTCTGCTCCAAACCTGCTTTCCTGACTGTTCACTCACGGCCTATGAGTAGACTAGGTTTTCGTGGGCAGAGGGAAGAGCAGGAGCAAATGCACGATGTGCTTGGGGAACAGTCTCGAATGAGTTCACCATGGGAGCATCGGAGCACTCACTGGGAAGTGGGGGTGCAGAAGTAGGACAACACCAGATCGGGGGAGTCAGGAAGACTACGTTTGTGCTTCGGGGCTTGTTTATGGGCAGTGGACAAGCTGGGCTCCCGTGCTAGAGGAAGAATGCCACATTCCCACCCCATGTTGGTACATACACCGTCCCCACCTAGAAAGACCCCCCTCTCCATTCCGCAGACCAGCTTCTCCTCCTCTCCCAGGCTCAGCGGGCCTCACCTTTGCCATGAAGACTATCCTGTCCCCCCCCCGTCGCCTTCTCCCTCTTCCTCGCCATCCACTCAGTTCCTGTCACTACTGCTCCTGTGGGTGACAGCCATCAGCATGCAAGCCAGTGGGCACAGTCCCCTCTGCCCCCCAGCAGCTCTCCCTGTGACCCACTTTGTGAGGGTTACAAATGTTAACCTCCCAACCGACTCTGTCATCCTAGACAGTAGTACGTAACACAGTGAGGAACACGCAACCGATTTTCATAGATTTTATGTCATTCTTTTACTACCTCCATGTTTTACTTCAAAACATCACATCAACCAAAACATCCACGCAAGAAATGTATATGTTTTACCCGTGTTTCAAAGAATATGACAAATATTCCAACATGGTTTCTACTACAGGTGACTAGGAATGGAATCTGTAAAGGTATATGTACCCCAAGAATACCAGGAGGTGGTTGAAATTCTGATTTTCTTGGTGTTTACCATGGACCTGTGCTGCCCACTGACTCTGCCTGCCACCCTAGAAACCTCTATTGGCTAGGAAGTTCACTAAAAAAGAACAACAAAATTTTAAAAAATTAAAAATAAGTAAATTGTTGTCAGGGGTCTGGGGCACTTTGTCTTGGATAAGTAGACGATGAGCTAAGAACAGTTTCAGTGAAGCGTTTTTGGGTGATTTGCAAGATGGATCACACAGTAGACTGTCCAAGTTAGCAGTTGATACAAAACTTCTAAGAATTCAAATGCCAGCCTCACTGGGATAAAGTGCAGAAAGGGCCCCAGAGCTTCGACTGGAGAGGATTGAAAAAAATGCAGCTGAAATAATTCAAAGATTTTGCATTGCAAGAACTCTGAGCTCTCAACTACAACCTGGAGATCAGACCCAAAATTGCAAATATGAATCAAATATCTGAAAGTCAAGAATAAAAAACACAGGGGGATGGATACCAAACACTGATCCTCTGGTTTTCTAAGCTTTATGCCAACATCACCTTGGAATACCAGGAAGCACCATGTTTTGATCTCTATTCGAAATGCTTTCAGTGAATTATGATTTGGTGCTAGCTTCTTAGCCTTAAAATCAATATAATAATGACCCCTCAAGCATAATTTTGCTTCTTCTGCTGAACCATGGCTCAAATAATTGATTGTTTTCTCAGTCTATGCCCTTTATACCTACGAGAAGGAGGTCCTTCTCATCTTCCTTCAGTTTATCAGAATGACATACATCACCTTGATTTTTTTTTATTTTGTTTTGTTTCATTCTGTTTGGTTTTGCCTTGGCTACTAGGAAGGTCAGAAATACATCTAATGCTCAAGCACGGTGACTGTCTCACTGCAGATTTCTGGTAGAATGATCTCCCCTTTCCACTCTGACTGCTGATGTCTCTCTGACTTTAATTGTCCTCTATGTGCTTTTCTTGTAAGCAACATCATGGTCTTGCTACACAATGGGATAGAGTGTGTATCACCAGTCAGTCAAATCATGTGCTCTAAGCACTTGAACAGTGTGTGGCACTTGGAAGGTGCTCAGTAAATATTTACTGAATGGATGGATGGATGGATCCGAGAAACAAACCAAATTTTACTTTTCCAAAAGTAGGAGTGAATGGCCACTGGGGGGAGGATGAGCTCCCTCTCATCCATGAAAAGGGCCCTTCCCACTGGAGGCCCATAGCCATGGATTTGATAGAGTATGAGGAGTGTTTTTACATGATAACTGAATCCTGTATTTCTGTAAAGCCCAACCACCTGAATGAGTAAACATTTGAGTGTGCCAGGATTCCCCCAGTGAGTCCACTTGTTAAGGTCATTTCCACCCCTGTACCACATGACCAGAGCCAGGGGTTTATCTGGAGCACAGAAACCATGTGAAAAGAAAGCCTGGTGCACACAAATCAAGTGTTTTGAGCCAAGTGCAAAAATCTTCATTGAAAATACTTGAGAATCGAGTCAACTGTATAGTTCTTGGTCCGGTGGTAAATAAGAAGGAGGAAGAACCAAGGGGCAAGTTTAGAAGAAATCGGCTCATAAAGTTGGTGACATATTGGCCAATCTGCACCTTGACCACTTGTTACTTGATACGTTATTGCATATTGCTTTCCTGTTTTCCAGAGACTCAGAGCCTCGGGGAACTAAGATCTGCAAGTTCCATCTGTTCATCCAGAAACTGGGGACCAAGGAAGATCGAGGCTTGCACCGGTCATACAGTGATTACCAGCCAGCCTGGGCTAGAGCCCAGAGTCCTTGCTGCTTGGTCATTTTCCCATCTTCTGGATAGGAAGCCTTTTGAAGGCAGGCACTGGTGAGTACTTCCCTGAAGACGAGAGGTCAAGAGTGCCCCTTTCAGAGCTCTGCGACTTCCTACTCTTCATGCAACCTGTGCATCTGGGTGAGCTGTGCATTTTAACTTTGTCCCACAATAGAGTAACTGACAAATCTAGAATCCCTTAAGCCATGAGTCCTTAGCCTATAGGGCCATGAACTTGGATTGGAAAAAGATTACTTCTTTATTTATCTACCTCTAAGTAAAATTGAGCATTTCTTTCCATTATGAATACAGGCATCAAACCAGAGTGGAACTAGCAGGACTGGTAACTGTCACTAATAGAAATCACATATTTTCATACCATGATGTATGTTGTAGATATCTCAAAATATTACTTATAATCATCATTACTTTGAAATTATAGTAGTTGTTAGATCACTGCCAGATCTCATTATTTCATATATCGGTGAACATATATATTACTATAGTAAAACAGTTGAGGATAAATGATTTCCTTTGTAATTCAATGTATTTTATTTTGTGCATTAAATACACAGGCTTCACCAGACTACCAAAGATTAAGCAGAGATTCTTAACCCTTTTTTTCTTAAAGAAAATGATCCCTTAGGGCTCTGTTAACCTCTTATTCAATGATTTGTTATGAATCATAAATTAATATAATGTGGATTTCTGTTGAAGCCCAACAAAAGTTTAGCTTCTAAAGCGTTGAAAGGAATTCTTATTACTAAGGAATTCATGTAGATTTGATAAAAAAAAATGGCATTACACAAAGTATATTTGATCTATACTTTCTGCTTTTCAATGATATGCATCTAGCCAGTGTTTTTTATCAATTCAACACCATCTTCTTGGTTGGGGGAGGGGAGGAACAAATTGAAGGTCATGTGAGCCCAGTGTCTCCAATGGGGGAAAAAAAGCAGGGGGAACATATGCAGAACCTTTCAACCAGTATTAGACAGAAACAAGACCCCATGCATATGACATCCTTTGAAAACCATTAAAAACCATAAATAATTCATAGATAGAGGTTGTGGGATAGTCCTACTTTTTTTGAGTTTTGAAGTGAATTGTAAAAATAAGAGCTAAGTGTTGGGCACATTGAGTCTTCTAATGTATTTTCCATTAGGATGATACCTGTTAAACATGGACCTTTTTGCTTCTCTGATCACTGGAGATACGAATAATTCAAGTTCAGAAGTGTGGCTTTTAGAAACACGAGAAGGCCAATTTTAATAAAATTTAAAATCTTACATTATCACGATGGCAGAAGGTGCAAAGGTCTGTGTGGAACATTTTGTGTGTCCAGAAGTGATGCCGCAGACATACACAAGCCAGGAAAATGAGGTCATTTTGTTGTTCCTTTCTACAGGCTTTGAACTGGCTGGGCTTTTAATGACCATAACTGCTGACCTGAAGGCATTGGAGGGGAAGGTTAGCTTCTGAATGTCCTCGATATTCTTCTACTGCCGTTTCTAATTTCCCTCAGATTGGGGCTCACTTCTGCTTTGCGGAAATTATCTGCTTGGAGCCATGCCTGATTTATAACAATCTCTGGCAAAACCTCAGAAAAGAGATATGCTTTGGGGTTAGACGGACATCAGAGGTAGCTATAAGGCTCCGTGGAAAGGCTCCCCAGGTGGCATGAGGCTTGGGGAGCCACGAGTCCAGCTGAGGGGCAGCCTCTTGGAGCTTTCTTCTCCTGAGGAGTGTGACACAGTTAAAAAGGACAAAAAAAAAAAAAAAAAAAAAAAAGAGTCACAAGCCAAACAGTTGCCAATGAAATAGGAGAAGGAGCACTTTCAAGCACTTGGGGCTGCTCCTGGGCGCTCTGAGCTCACCCACAGCACAGGGGTACTCGGCCATGGAGTGACACTCGGCTCAGGTCTCTGCACGAGAGAAGGAATGGCCCGGGACGTCAATCTGAATTCCCTCCAGGAGTTGGAACGTGAGGTCATCCTCCAGGTCCTGTACCGAGACCAGGCGGTTCAAAACATCGAGGAGGAAAGGATCCGGTATGCTGTCCTCCACATGCGTGCAAGTCCCTGGGTTTTCCTGCTTGCAGCCTGCTGCTACCTGCTTGCTGGCCACGGCGGGCGGGGGGTGGGGGGGTGGTCCGGGCGTCCCCTCTGCAAGGGGCCCTGTGAGGGGTAGAGGCCAGGTAACCCTGCCCTCTAACTGAGCTCCCCACTGTAAGGGCAAAGGGAGGCTGCTCTTGTCATTGACTTAGAATAGTGCTTTTTTGTGCTAAGTGTGTTGTGTGCTGCTTGTCCCTTTGCTACTTCTTGGGACTAATTCAAAGGAAGGTTTGCAGGCTTCTACTATACCCTCAAGGGAAAGACCTCCAGCAAAGGGTTGCCTAAATTGTTGGTGGGGTTTCTGAAGGCACACAGAAAAGCTGAGAAAGCAGCTAGAAACAGCAGGTCTGCTGCAATCCATTCCTGTCTGTTTGTGTGCTTTTGCTTCCAAGTTGGCTTTGAGGGGAGGGGGAGTATAAAATATGAACCTGCTCAGCCTGTTCCCTGACTGATCTGTCAATAGGAAGTTCTTTCCTTGTCTGTCTGGAAGCTGCACACACAGTTTGGTATGAGTTAACACTTAATAAAGCAGGGCTAGACTGTATCAAAACTGCCGATTGGTAGCGGTCAAGATCCACCCTTACAAATGGCGATGCCTTGTTTGTCAATGACTGTAAAGGACTCAAAGACTGGAAAGTAAGTACGTGGAATAGGCTTTTGATTTTGTTTTGTTTTTAACGGCAGAACTCTTTCAGAGTCTGCCAAGAAAAATACACATATAAATAAATAAAATTCGGGGCAACCCAGTGCTTGAGGAATGAGAGAAATTTGCGGGGTAACTGGAAGATACAGCGTTCTTTTTCTGTCCTTCCCTGTTATCCCTAAATGTACTTGTACTTTCTTCCACTAAAAAGATATAAAACACTGAACAAAATGGAATTGTCCCTGATGATTAGAGGCCTTTTGGTGATTTAGAAACATTGTTTTGAATATCAACAAAGTAACGCGGACGCTGTGGTCAGGAAGTTTTGTTCCAGAGGGTACAGACTCTAGAGCCAATCCTGCAATTTCTGCAAATTGAATGAACTACACTTGCTTTTTGGGATTGGCTTCTCTCTTCTAAAAGTAGCTAGCAGAGACATTTCATAAAAGAGTGTTCTGGTTAATAACACCTCTTTGGGGTCCAGTGTAAGGTCCCTTAACACAGTTGGGCAATATTGTCTCGGAGAAATAGGGACTGGAAGTGAACTGACCACCCATTAAAAAACAAAAAACAAAACAAAACAAAACAATAGCTGGGATGCCTGGGTGGCTCAGTTGTTAAGCGTCTGCCTTTGGCTCAGGTCATAATCCCAGGGTCCTGGGACCGAGCCCAGCATCGGGCTCCCTGCTAAGCCCGGGAGCCTGCTTCTCCCTCTCCCACTCCCCCTGCTTGTGTTCCTGCTCTCACTATCTCTCTTTCTGTCAAATAAATAAGATCTTTTTAAAAAAACAGTAGCAAAAGCATAGCATCAGTTAAATAATTTTATTGGATAACTTAATGAAAATAGCAGGCGTGTATATCTTTATAGATCTTTCCATGCCTTCTATATTAAAATTGATGCCATTTTCTCTCTCTCTGTGTGTGTGTGTGTGTGTGTGTGTGTTTTGTTTTGTTCTCTCTCTGACCTTGCTAACCATTATGATGTCCTTTGGGCATGGAGGGATGAGCCTAGAACCAAACTAGCGACTAACTCCTCTGTGCTGGCCACTTTTTAGGCTTTGCCATTGAATCCTCCTAGCGTCTGTGGGAGGTGAGCTTTTTCTCATCTCCGTTTCACTGTGGAGAAAATCTCTGAGCCTCTTTCTGGAGAGATTGAGTGAGATGCCTAGTTCACACAGCCATGTTGTTACCCGGGTGTGTTGGATGCCAAAGCCCCTTGTTTCTTCTCTTGCTGGGGAGTGGTACTTTTGGGGCCCTCTCCATGTAGGGGTACGTCTGGCGTCTGTCCTTTCTTTCAGTCATAACTTATCATTTGACTCTTCGGGCCGCAGGAAACTGAAGACGCACTTGCAGCATCTCCGGTGGAAAGGAGCAAAGAGCGTGAGCCCGGAGTACAAAGAGAAGTCATGTGCACGCTGTCAGCGTGAGCTGGGGCTTCTGCTGAACCGGGGGGCCGTGTGCAAGGGCTGCAGCCACCGCGTGTGCTCGGAGTGCCGAGTGTTCCTGAGGAAGACCAGTGCCTGGAAGTGCACCGTGTGCTTTGAGGACAGGTGAGATGGCTGGGGCCTTCATGCCCCCCGCAGACTCGGTCCCAGACCAGCTGCTGACAAAGCACTGTTGCTCCTCAAGTTCAACTGGTTCATGTTTACAGAGGGCTTCATATGAAGCTACCTTTCTAGACTTGGAAGTTACAGTAATTCAAAAATAAATTTTATTGGGCGCCTGGGTGGCTCAGTTGGTTAAGCGACTACCTTCGGCTTAGGTCATGATCCTGGAGTCCCGGGATCGAGTCCCACATCGGGCTCCCTGCTCAGCGGGGAGTCTGCTTCTCCCTCTGACCCTCTTCCCTCTCGTGCTCTCTATCTCTCATTCTCTCTCTCTCAAATAAATAAAAATAAAATCTTTAAAAAAAAATAAAAATAAATTTTATTATATAAAAAGTTCTTTTTTCCCTTTAATTTACAAATGTTTGTTTATAATGGCTAAGGATGGGCTAACCCAGGAGTTAGGATGCATTTGGATTTCATAACTAGGTGCCTGTTTCCTTAGAGCTTAATTTATCTCTTTCAGAGAAAGTCAAGTGAATTTTAACACATGGAATATTAGAGTGATCCTGTGTAGCGTTATGTATTTGTTTTTAAAGATTTTATTGGCTTATTTATTTATTTATTTAGAGAGCATGAGTGGGGGAGGGGCAGCGGGAGAGGAAGAGAGAGAATCTCAAGCAGACTCTCTGCTGAGCATGAAGCCCCATGTGGGGCTCAATCCCAGGATTGAGATCATGACCTGAGTTGAAATCAGGAGTCAGATGCTTAACTGACTGAGCCACTCAGGTACCCTGCGTTAGTTATTTTTTAAAAAATATTTTGTTGAGGTATAATTGACCTATGACATTATATTGATTTCAGATGTATGGCATAATGACTTGATATTTGTATACAATGCAAGGTGATCGCCACAGTAGATCTTGTTACCATCCTCTGTATCTGTATTTCAATTCTGAATGATAACCTTGCCGGGTAGGGTATTCTTGGTTGGAAGCTTTATTCCTTTCAGCACTTTGGATTGGATTTATCATCCCACAACCCCTTCTGGCTGCAAATTTCTGATGAAAAATCTGCCAGTTGTCTTCTGGGGGTTCCTTGCATGTCCCAAGTTGTTTTTCTCTTGTTGCTTTTAAAAGTCTCTTTTTATCTTTAACTTCTGACATTTAATCAGGATGTGCGTGATGTGATCTCTTTGGGTTCATCTTATTTGGAATTCTCTGGGCTTCCTGGACCTAGATGTCTGTTTCTCTCCCCAGGTTAGGGAACTTTCAGCCATTATTTCTTCAAATAATTTTCTGTTCCTTTCTCTCTCTCTTCTCCTTCTGGCCCCTGTAATGTGAATTGTTATTTGATTTGATGTTGTCCCATAGGTCTGTTAGGCTGTCTTCATTTTTCTTTTTTACTTCTTTTTCCCTTTTTTTTTTAAGATTTTATTTATTTATTTGAGAGAGAGAATGAGAGAGAGCGAGCACATGAGAGGGGGGAGGGTCAGCGGGAGAAGCAGAATCCCTGCTGAGCAGGGAGCCTGATGCGGGACTCGATCCTGGGACTCAGGATCATGACCTGAGCCGAAGGCAGTAGCTTAACCAACTGAGCCACCCAGGCGCCCTCTTTTTTCCTTTTTTGTCTGCTCTGTTTGGGTGAACTCCACTGCCCTGCCTTCCAGATTGCTGATCTGTTCTTCTGCTTCATCTGGTCTGCTGGGGAACCCTCCAGTGTGTGCTTCAGCTCTGTGACTAATGTTTGGCACTTGCTGATGTTTTCCATTTCTTTGTTGAAGTTCTCACTGTGTTCATCTGGTCTTCCCCTGAGTCTGGTCAGCATCTTTATGACCATGGCTTTGAATTCTTTATCAGGCAGATTACTTATCTCTGTGAAATTAAGGTAGTTTTCTGAGATTTTTACCTTGTTCTTTTATTTGGAACATACTTCTCTATGTCTTCATTTTGCTTGACTCTCTATGTTCATTTCTTTTTTTTTTTTTAAGATTTTATTTATTTATTTGTCAGAGAGAGAGAGAGAGATCATAAGCAGGGGGAGTGTCATACAGAGGGAGAAGCAGGCTCCCTGCTGAGCGAGGAGCCCAGTGCAGGACTTGATCCCAGGAACCTGGGATCAGGACCTGAGCCAAAGGCAGATGCTTAACTGACTGAACCACCCAGGCATCCCATTCTGTGTTAATTTTTATATGTTTCTAAAGAGCAACCTCTCCCAATACTCCATCTTAAAGGAGTGGCCTTGTGTGGGTGATGAACCTTGTTGCTTAACCTTGCCCTAGGTCTTGGTTATCTTTCCAACTTTTGTGATTGCCCAAACAACCTGATTGATTCTTGATAGGGCTCCATCGGTGTGCCAAGACCTGTTGATGACCCAAAGGGAAGGATCTGTTAGAACCTAGTTTCAGGCTGATTGGAAGCCAGACCCGTAGGCAGTAGCTTTTAAAGTATGCAAATAGGTACAGTCCTGTGGAACCATAATCATAACCTCTGCTGGCCTCCAGGCCAGGAGATCCAAAGGTGTCCTTTGGGTGGAGGTTGCAAAACTCAGGTTCTAGCCAAGTGTATAAGCTCCTTCCTAGGAGGTACCAGGGAGCTGAAGCAAGGCCAGGGCTGCGTGCAAGGATGGTGTCTCCCTGCCTGTGTTCCCTGAGAACACCTTCATAACCTCTGGTTGTGTGGCAAACAGGAAGTCTACCCCTCAGGCTAAAGCTCCAGGACAAGTAAATAGGCCTTTTTCTCAGGGAGACTGGGGATGTGCTTCAGTCTACTGTCTGTGCAGGGCCCTGGGAGTTGTAAGCTGCCAGGAACTGTCTTTGCAACTGTTATAGTCCCATGGAGCCCAGGAACACAAGCGCCCCCTGGCCACCAGGGCCAGGGGATCAATGCGTGCCCTCTGTGTGGGCTGCATGCACCTGCTGGCTTTGCGACGCAGCTGGAGAGTGCAGGGGCTGGAGCGTGCCCACTGGCTTTAGAAAAGCCAGGGGAGACTGCCTTGGCTGTGCATGCCCTCTGGCATCAGTGATGCTGCAGGAGGACACCGTGTCTGTTCTTGCCCCTCAGCAGCAAGGCTGTGGGAGAACGCTGTGACCACTTGTAGCCTCCAGCCCAGTCCGGCAGCAGGAGCGTGGTGCAACTCACCTGCCTGCCGGCTTCGGCCAGGCAGTGGGAGAATACCGGGACCGTTCACCCCACGGCAGCGGGAGAGTGCCCCATCTCTGTGCGCCGCCTGCGCTAGCGGGGAGAGAGCGAGAGCAAAAATGGTGCTCATCTCTGGAGAGCGTCCCACCTGTCCCCCGCCCCTCTGGCAGATTCACGAAGATTAGCAAATGAATCTCCTTCACATACACTCTACATGCTTTTCAAATTTGCTTTTGTCTGGGTCTCTATGTGAGAGAGACCACATGCCTCTTGGACTTAAGTAAGCCCCACTGTTTTTTCTAAGTGAGACCTTTTGGGGGCGCATCTCTCTGGTACAGGTCCCAAGGGTTGAGGTGCCTGGTAGGGGGCACAAACCCCTCGCTCCTCTGGGAGAAACTCTGCCCTTGTGAGATCCCTCCCTGCTGTGGGTGTCTGTGCTGGGGGTGGGGGGGCTTTTGCAAGACCGTGTCTCTGCCTCTCCTACCCACCTCGGTGTGGTCTTTCCATCCTTTGCTGTGGAGGGGCAGCTCGGCGGGTTTTCAGCTCTTCTTCAAAGGGAGTTGTTCCATATGAAGCTATAGATCTGGTGTCCGTGGGAGGAGGTGTGTTCGGGGTCTTCCTACACCACCACCTTCCCGCGCAGCTTTCCATAAGGCTTTTGGGAAGGCGGTAGGCTGACTTCTATGGGATACTCAAATAAAGAAATGAGTATGCATTCTATTAGTGCCAGACTGAATCTTCACATATTTCAATCTTTTCGCGTCGTGAGGTGTTTTTTGTTTTTTTTTTTAATTTTAACACGGAATTGGAATTTGGAACTACCCATTTCGAAAATGATAAACAGCCTGTTTGGCTCGGGCTCCCACTTTTCAAAGCAAGAATGGGCTGGTCATCGATTACTTGAAAACACAAGAAAGGGTGTTTCTGTTTGTTGGGGACGGTGCACACAAGGACATCACAGAACCTAGAGGAAGGGAGGAACATTCGTATGGTGTGAATCTAGGAGAATAATCAGAGACTTGGGGATTTGAAAACAGCTCCTAAGTGTTGCTGCAGATGTGTGAGTGCCCTGGACAAAGATCACAAGAGGCACCCACACTGTGTGGGGCGGCGGCTGGGTTTTCTCTCCCCCTTAGTCAGGAGGGTTGTGTTTATTGGGCCCCTGACATTAATGTCCTCAAATTTCCTGTCCCTTTGCAAGGCTTAATTTCAGTCCCTCATCCAGAAAGAAGTGAAGTTGTTCAACCAGATCTCTTTGCCCCCGAACAGCACACCTTGTATTTGGACAGCAGCTCGCCAAGTCATGCTGACTTCAATCAGAGCTAACTCTGCACGTTTCACGCATTTCACGTCTCTTTGGTTTGTTGAGGCCAGTGTCCTTCAGGCTTTGCTTTTTTCTTTTTCTTTCTTTCTTTTTTGATTTTAAAAAATTTATATATATATATATATATATTTTGTGTGTGTGTGTGTGCTGGTATAGCCACTCCAAAAAACAGTATGGAGATTCCTCAAGATGTTAAAAATAGAGCTTTTTTCTTTTTTTAGTGCCCCAGGCTCAAGGCCCTCAGGCTTTTCTTATCTTGAGAGGGAAGGACAGGGAGTTGCTGGGAGCTGCCTGGGCCCTTGAAAGAGGAGGTAACAATTCCCGGTAACATCTAGAAATGTCTTAAGATTTTCTTCCCTCCTTTCAATCAACAGTTTGTATTTGAAGTCTGAAGGTAAACAGTGCCTGGTAAGGGTTTAAATGCGTTGGCGTTTTTTTTTTTTTTGTCTTTGAATAGTTCACTGTAAGCTAAAAACAAGATGAGAGGCAGGATGAGACTGAGCCTGTCTCCCGGGAAGGCGGCCTGTGTGAAATCTGCACCC